AGCAACCAGGTGAATTTTGAGAAAAACAAGAAAAACAATTGAATCTCTAAATTTTATAATAATAGTACAACTAATGGTTGAATTTCACTTAAACTAAGTTTAAAAAACTTAGAATTTATGGTAATACAGACCTATAATAAAAAAAATAAGGAATATTGTAATTAAAAATTATCTTTAAAAATTACATCTTTGTAGACAAGTAATACACTTAGTATTTCTCTAGTTGACAAGTCTCAATTACCTTTTTTCTTTTTATTTGTACAGCCTTGAGGGCGTCCCTGACCACATCGCTTTATTGATCCAGTATCTGATATTGTAGTCTTTAGACTACTTGTGCCATGCTCATGATCTGTATCCTGGTATATCTCCTGTTCTCCACTAGCTTCCTGTACAACTGATCATTGATTAGTGAATAATTTCTCTAATTACATTGTATAAAGTACAGTCCTGGAAATATAAACTTACTAGTACTGCTTTCTCCATTGTTTCCACTACCCGGTGTTGTCTCAGCTTACTGAGTTTTAAACTTCTTTACACATTGTACACATAAGCTTTTCTTTTCCCTAACTGTAGAGATTAGTGTTACTATTGGCTTTGAATGAAGCCACTGAGATTGGTATTCAGAAGGAACATGTTTTGAGTACTTATACTAGAGATCATATCGCTTCTCCTCATTTAAACCTATATCAGGAATAGCTTGTAGTGAGTTAGTTAGAAATCAGTCTAGAGAGAAGTCCTTTTTACAAAGGTCAAATCTGACCCATGGTTGATCAGGTAGTTTATGTGCTTCAACTACCCCTAGAGCTCCCTTAGTGAATCGGAAAAATTGGAAGCTCTGTATACCCTTCAAGGATTTAAGATATTGAGATAAAGCCTAATCCCAATTGCGAAACATACTTGCTGGCGTATTATCAAAAAGTCTTACTGCCTTAATCTTCCCAGCCTTATCTGCAGAGTCAACTAGAGAGGCATAAAGCTCAGGAATCCATACCTCCATTCTATTGGCCTTTTGCTTTACAGTTCCAAATCCTCTGTCAACACTATTAAGTGTATGATCCTTGATTTGAAATCCAAGTATAATAGAATTAAGATCATGGCTTAAAATTAACCAGCAAAGATACCATAGCATGGTTTTGTTGTTGTTTTGCCCTCTGCAGTTATCTGCCCATAGCTGTATCTCAGACTTCTCATTCTGAATCAATGTTAAAAACAGATGCAATAGTGATACAACTTGATTAGCTGCTTTTCCTTGCTGTCCCTGTGTATGCATTGTATGATAATGTTGTTCAGTGCCTTCATTAACAATGCCTAAGATATATAACTTGAAATGTGACCAATAGTACCACTCAGATGGCTGTTGAGAAATACTTGGAATTTCTACTACCTGCTGAAAGTCAAAGGAATAACAACTAACCTGGACTTGATCTTCCTTTACCATCTTGATATTATTTTCATACTCACTTCTGCAAGCCCTGTACTCTTGACAATGCATTTCCAACTGCTTTCGGTAATGGGCTTTATTGACTTGCATACTATCCCTCTCGTCGGACTGTACTTCCCCATCAGATATCTCCTCCAGGCGGATACTTGACTTGAGCTTAGAGTTAGTTTGAAGTATTGCGTATTCATCACAGGTATTTTTAGAGGGCTTGTGGATCTTCATAAAGCAGAAAACCTCATGGGTTTTCCAATACCTGTAAAAGTACTCATATGAAAGAATCCGCTGCAGATTTTGATGCTTAATCTCTTTAACATACCGATCATATAGTACTTGATATGACAGATATGAGGGGAGTAATGTGGTATATTCTACCTCCATATACTTTACAATCTTACCATTTTTCAAACATCTTTTAAATACACAGGTTGCAATAGACTCACCTTCATCTGTCTTGATTCTCATTAGATATTCTTCTAAACCCAGTACTACAGCCTCTGCCATATGATTGTATGACCTTTTCCCATAATTACCATCGACTTTTCGTACTGGCATGTGAAGAGTACGAATATGATTCAAGATCGCTGTAATGGCTTTTCTATCCATATCCCAAAACTTACAAAAGAGCTCCCAACAAACATTGCCAACAAATAGCAAGCAGTACTTTATCTTTTTTTGCTCAAACTCCTTTGGCTACAAATCTTAGCTTTATACTTTACATTATATTTATAAAATATGACCACTTACTAGTAATTGAGAAGATAAAAGGTATATTATCATCAGCTTTTTCTTCTTTCTGTCAACTGTATCATGAAATCTAAGCCATTGTTTCCACTCCTCAGTACTAGCTTTTAAAGTACAGCTTTGAGAGCAAGAGCATGACTTTAAAAATTGTCTAATACATTCAAGAAAATTGCCAGAATCTATTCAAGTTATCTATTAATATATCTAATTTACTTTACAACTAATAAGAAAATTCTTTATCTTACCTGAATGTAAACTAAAATCTGTTTTTGCAAATTCTGACTCTGTATAAGTCTCTAGCTCTTTAGACTCCCAAAGAGATTTATGATCACTGTTATCCATATCAGCAATATAACTAGTACTTGAAGAAGAATCTGCTTTGGGAAGAAAATTGTGTTCCATTGATTTAGAATGAATGTAGTGATATTTCTTATACTACTTGAGCTTAAAGAAAAGAATACACTTTAATTCAAGCTCTCATTGAGAAGTTCTGCTTCATTATATTAACATCTTACAAAAAAGATTGGATAATCAGATTGTCTAATATCTCCTATTGTACTTATTATTCATACTACAGGTTTATTCTTACGGTTACAATCAAGAAATAAAAATAAAAATTACAAAGCATATTATAACAATGAATTCGCCTCCTAAAATAAAGTCAGAAATATTTTCCTGATAGATCCTTATCTTTTTTATTTTTCCATGTAATTAAAAAAAAAAACAGATTTTTTGAAATATTCACTTTAAAACTCTACTCTGGGCTCAATTTCTTTGACAAATATTTTTTAAGACTATCATAGGGTACTCTACATGCTCAATAAGTTTCATATGAAGTGAAGTATATTTGTTGCATTGAAAGATTGGTACATTTTTTGCATAACAGCACACATATGATATTATGGTTTGATAGGTTTTGCACATGATTCCAATATGAGTCATGGGACGTGTGCCTGACGAGTATGCCTTGTAAATGTACCTTGCAGGTATGCCTTATGCATATGATTTATATTTAGCATATGACCTCATTGTAAGGTCATGAGTTTTGCTCATGTGACTCATTCAAGTCATATGACTTGTTTATTGTATTATGATTGGTTTATGAGTTTTGGGAACGGCTCGCCTTG